TTGTCATATCTCACACCTAAATGGGACAAGGGAATGAGATCCGACAAAACTCGTCATGCAATCATGTAACAAACGTTATGTAAACAAACAGTTTTCTCCTGTGTAATCTGCAGCCAGGGTGTACCCAGGGTTCACAATGTGACTGGTGGCCAGCCTGTTCCACCAACCAAGCAATGAGTTCGCAACATTGAGTTGTAGGTGTTGTAAGTCGATTGAATGAAATGATCCAATGATCATTTTTTCCAACCTTTACTTCAAGAGAGCGATCTTAGCGAAACTGCCAAACTTCGACGGGCCGGTCTCATGACGGTCTCGCCACACTGGTCGGAGAGTCGCTGACTCCGACGGACGCGCCAATCTCCCACGATCCGGTTTGAGAGTCGCTCGCCGTTCGCTCCTGGCTTTGCGTCGTCCTAGGCAGCGGCTGTTGGCTTGGCACGTTGCAGCGGCCAAACATGTTGGGCACTGAACTGTTGGAAGGTCGCCGCCAACAGCAAAAGGGGGCGATCAACACCAATGGGCACAGAAAAACAAAAAACAATTGCCATTCTCAGATTGGATGCTCCTGGGACTGATGGGGACTGGGCCTTCGAGCCTTGTTGATGCAGCAGGGTATATCTTGGCTAAAAATTGAGGTCAGCAATTATAATGATCAATCATGACGTCATCATATGATACACCACACACCAAGTCTTTATGACACACACATACATGGAACCCCCACAACTCCACTCCGGAGAGTTCCACCGTTCCGTGTTCCATCCAGGTGGCGAAGGCATGGCATCGGTGGCATGGTATTCTCCTCCCGCGTGGCCACTTGCAGCCAAACAGTCTCGCTAAAACCATGCGAGGGATGGTGAATCACTCACAGCACTTTTGTGTACACAGTCTGTTGTCATATTTGCGTGCCTGGAGGCAAAAAGGGTTAAACACATATTGACCCTCTATCCAAATCACCCCAGAAACCAGCGGAATGCTTACCGACGCTGACCCCTTTTCAACCACCCTAGTGGACAAAACGCTTAAACATACATGAAATTATACCTGAGAAGGGGGGAACGAAAGCCAGGACAAAAACGCATGGGACTCTTTCCGCCTGCGGCAATGGTCTCATCGAGAAGCTGAAGGCTCGGTCAGTTGTATTGTATATATAGATACAGATGAAAAAACATATGTATATGTACATGTGCATGCATATGCATATGTATATGTATTTGTATTTGTGTATGTATGTATGTATGCATGTATGTATGTATGTATGCATGCATGTGTGTACATAGTTCTCTCAGCCATGTGCACTAAGTTGCTCCATTTCTTCTTGGTGGGACAACCTTCACTGCTGTGGTGGATATGGTTGCCCAAGGCCCTGGACTTGCACTGCTGTCCCCACTACTGTCAGCATTTGGCTTTGTTGTTGGTTCATTGGAGGAACACGCACGTGACGGAGACGTGTTGGTGGGGAAAGGTTACGAAGCTTTCTTGGAGGTAGCCCGCGATAGACACATGGAGCCGGCTTTCTTCGGTGATAGATGCAGAACAGCAGTAGCCACGACAACAGAGGCTAGTCAATCAAAATTGAAAAGTGGCAAGGTCAGCCTCTCCGAGCAAGACGCCGCCCAGCAATAGCCCCAAAAGTAGGGCTTCCGTCCCGTAGATTCCCATTTACCACGCCGAGTATGCTGTAGTTTAACAGTATCAATCTTCCCGGAAACTTAGGCAAGGAAAATCTGTTCGTGTAACTTCGTCGTGGGTCTCTACACCCGAGATCACCTTCAATCCCCGGCTTTGCTGAGCAATAAAAGCTATCTCTGCCACCCGGAGCCGCCTCCACCAGCCCGGAGGCTCTGCCCAGACACACCCGAGCTGCGCCTGTCAGGATTGGGCGTGAGGCGAAGGTGCGAAAGAAACACACCCTCCTCCAAGGTTGACGAAACTACTAGACATATATATACTGTCATCCAGACCACCATGTCGTACCTCGGATCTGAACGGCAACTCAGAACTGGTACGGGCTCCCTGCGTTGTCTGGAACTTGCGTCCTCATACCTCGAGAATCACCTGTTGGTAATATCGTCGACATCCAATGCATCAGCATCTCGAACCACAGCTTTTGCCGGAGCAAAAATCTTGTCTGAGCACTCGCTCTCCTACCCTCCTGCCCTTCGTCCCCTCGCCTTTCCGTGGTTGTCGGGTAGCCTGACCACGTTTTGCTGGTTGTCAAACAAAGTTGCCGGTGGGTTTCGCCGGTTCGCAGTTCGAGGCTGAAAATTTGTATTTCAAAAATACGACAAACGCGACCCTTTTTTGTCTTTTCATAAAGCAGTGTGTGTGAGGTCTATAAGCAGAAAGTCTAGATATCTAGACGCATTGGGGTCCAGAGAGGTGATGGTGGTGATGGTGATGGTGGCGGTGGTGGTGGGTGTGACTGTGACTGTGACTGTGACTGTGAGTGAGAGTGAGAGTGTGAGAGAGAGAGAGAGTGAGTGAGTGAGTGTGTGAGTGTGAGTGTGAGAGTGAGAGTGAGAGTGAGAGAGTGAGAGAGTGAGTGAGTGAGGGAGTGAGAGTGTGTGTGAGTGTGAGTGTGAGTGTGAGAGTGAGAGTGAGAGTGAGAGTGAGAGAGAGTGAGTGAGTGAGTGAGTGAGAGTCAGAGAGTGAGAGAGTGAGAGAGTGAGAGTGTGAGAGAGTGAGAGAGTGAGTGAGTGAGTGAGAGTGAGAGTGAGAATGGGAGTGAGAGTGCGTGTGAGTGAGAGTGAGAGTGAGTGTGAGTATGAGTGAGTGTGAGTGTGAGTGTGAGTGTGAGTGTGGGTGTGAGTGTGACTGTGACTGTGACTGTGACTGTGAGTGAGTGAGTGAGTGTGAATGTGAGTGTGAGTGTGAGTGTGAATGTGAGTGTGAGTGTGAGAGTGAGAGTGAGAGTGAGAGTGAGAGAGTGAGTGAGTGAGTGAGTGAGTGAGTCAGAGAGTGAGAGAGTGAGAGCGTGAGAGTGTGAGAGTGTGAGAGAGTGAGAGAGTGAGTGAGTGAGTGAGAGTGAGAGTGGGAGTGAGAGTGCGTGTGAGTGAGAGTGAGAGTGAGTGTGAGTATGAGTGAGTGTGAGTGTGAGTGTGAGTGTGAGTGTGAGTGTGAGTGTGAGTGTGAGTGAGTGAGTGTGAGTGTGAGTGTGAGTGTGAATGTGAGTGTGAGTGTGAGAGTGAGTGTGAGTGTGAGTGAGTGAGTGAGTGTGAGTGTGAGTGAGTGAGAGTGAGAGTGAGTGTGAGTATGAGTGAGTGTGAGTGTGAGTGTGAGTGTGAGTGTGAATGTGAGTGTGAGTGTGAATGTGAGTGTGAGTGTGAATGTGAGTGAGAGACAGTGATAGAGAGAGTGTGAGTGAGAGTGAATGTGTGTGTTTGTGAGTGTGAGTGAGACTGAGAGGTGAGCATCTGAGAGCACAAAGTGCTGCGCCTGCCGCGAAATCTGCACTTCGAGGTTCACAAAGCGCTGCGCCTGCCACGACATCTGCACTTCGAGGTTCACAAAGTGCTGCGCCTGCCACGAAATCTGCACTTCAAGGTTCACCCGGCGCTCTGCTTGCCACGAGATCTGCCCTTCGAGGTTCACAAAGTGCTACACCTGCCACGAAATCTACACATCGAGGCTCACAAAGTGCTGCGCGTGCACGAAATCTGCAAACGACCAAAAGTCACGATTCACTCGGCCAGAGCGGCTCGAAGATCACGACCATGTCCAAAGTACTGCACCTGCCACGAAATCTGCACTTCGAAGTAAAAGCGCTCCGATCCCTTGCGCCTGCCACGAAAAGTGACCGCCATGCACGAAAATGCGCGCGGCGCCACAACGAGAGCGCAGTCGCGACAAGCACCCGCCGCGGGCCCCCCTTGTGCGAGGATGTGCAGTCGAAAAGCACTTTGAGGATTTCGATTGGCATGAGTGTACAGCAGCGAATTAGCCGGACACGCCCGTGCGGCACAGCGATCTAAGCGCAGCTGCTTGACTGCTACCGTAAGAACCGCTCAGTGTGTCCACACTGTTTGGAGGAAAAACTTTTCTGTATTTTCAAAAATACTAAAAATGCAAACCTGAATTTACATACTTCAAAACACTAGAAACAAAAAGAACAAAAATATACAAAAATACAACAAATACGACCCGCAAAAATACAAACAATACGATGCAAAAGATGCGACCTGCAAATACCAAATTTGCCGAAACGGGTTGCGAAACCAAATTTTGCGATTTTTCGTTTTGTTGACGCGTCGACGCTCGCTGTTTTTGCAGCCCGGCTGCCTTTGCTTTAATTTGCCAGAATGCAAAAAGACAGTGAATTCGCGAAAATGCTTCTTGACAACACAAAAGGACAACGTGGCTCAACATTCAATTGGCTTAGTGGGTGCTATTTGCATTGTGGCCCTCATTTGAGTATGTTGTTTGGGAATTAGGGCCCGTTAGGACGTAGAACCATGCAAAAAAATTATTTCAAGGTTGTATTTTTCATGTCTTTTGTCGTTGTAATGTTTTTGTGCTTCTTAGCCTCTACCTGAAAGTCGGGGATTCAAGATAAGTGAAAAATGAGGTTTCCCTTGCGCATGCCACAAAAGTGATCACCAAGTCCAAAAGTCACCAAAATGAGAGCGCAGTCTCGAAGAGCACGCTCACACCCACCAGATTCGGCGAGCCTGCGCAATCGAAATGCACTTCGAAGATCTCGAGTTTGAATGAATGTACTGTAAGTAGCAGCACGTTTGCCGGACACGCCGATGAGCACCTCCGATCAGACACCCGGCCTTAACTACTACCACGCGAGCCTAGGACACATTGTTTGGGGAAAAAGGTTAGGTTTCAGGCCTGAGCAAAGATGCCATCCGATACTCTTCGGCCAAGAAGTATGAATGAACAGCGGTGCCACAGTGCCCCCTTTCCGACTGAAACGGACAACAATCTCGAATCTGATTGGCCTGTGTCTCCCGATGAGAACAGGCTCCAGGCTTCTTCCATTTCGCTTGCGTTCCACTGCCGGCGCTCTGCCGCTGCAGTTGCCGCATTGCGAGATGCGCGGGAATGCTGGCCACGCCACTGCCAGAACTCCTGCAATGGGGGGAGCCGAGTTCGCCAGACACATGTCACCAAGTCTGAAAGAAAAGACATGGCGATGCAGCGCCCAGCTCTCCATGCCCTTGCAGCCTTCTACCTCTGAAGACAAGTAGGCGTCATGGTAGTGCTCCTGCCACGTCAAGCTTGGGCCAGCATTGAAGCTTGAAGGTTTTTCCCATGCAAACGCTGAGAAATGCACGTAGAAACGAATCTGTGCATAAATGTTGGCCAGCGCTCTGCCGCTGCAGTAGCCGCATTGCAAGATGCGCGCGAATGCTGGCCGTGCCACTGCCAGAACTCCTGCAGGTCTGTCCACGTGAGCATGGCCCTCAGCTGTCTGCGCGAAGGCAGACAACTTGCAATAAACAAAGATTCATCATTGAATCCAACTCGCCTTCAAAGATGAAATTGAAATTGCTCCGGAAGAGTTGGCGATGGTTGAGATGTCCCCCCTGTCCATGTGGGTTCGGGGGCGCAGCAAAAGGGACAAGAAGTTTTGGTCTATGTTCGCTGCCACCGAATCAGACCCAGAGCCTAGTGAACCTGCCAAAGATTTGTTTCAAAATCAAACGGATGAAGGTCCTGTTTTTGCACGTCATCATGTCCATTCACAATCAAAATCACATGTCTTTTGACAAATCTTCTGACATGTGTTGTGATATATGTCTTCGGTTCTGATATGTGTGCCAATGTGTTCTGGCAGGTATTCCGACAATTGGTAGAACATCAAGCGTGCCACTTGTTCCGACATATGTTCTGACTGCTTCTGACATATGATATGGCAACCATTGGCAAACGATATGTCAATTATACTGACATTTCTGGCTTTCTATTTTGCAGATATTCTGATATCCTTTCCGATAAATGTCGAGCATTCTTTTTAAAGGAAAGACTGTGACAGTCTCTCCGGCGTATCTTTTGGATTCTACCCGGCCTTTCTTATGACGGCAATCCTTTCTGGTATTCTGTTTGGCACATCTTCTGGTATCTTTTCTGGCAAATCCTGCGTTAAAACAGCCACCAAGTGAAGGGTCACAAGATCTCTTGAGTCCACCCTGCCCCCTAGTTCGTTCACCCTACCCCCTATTTCATCTTCTCCGGGGAGCATTACGAAGGGCTCTTCTGTAGAAAGGGTTTATGTTGCAGATCTGCATTCACATATTTGAGACTTATACAGCTGCGTTTGTAGGTATGCCACAAGTACATTTGCAGCTTGCGGTGTGGTTTTCTGGAGCTGCTGCTATGGAGGTAGTACCACTGCACTTGCTAGTACCGCAGTAGAATTAGAATTGCTCTGGTGCTGGGATCTTGCTTCAGCAAAAAACACATGCCAATTACTTTCACTGGGGTCTTGCTTCAGTAAACACACCTGCAAAATATAGCTCGTATAGCTTTCGCTGGGATCTTGCTTTAGCAAACACACCCGCAGAATTAGCTCATGTAACTTTCGTTCGGAAGTTGCTCCAATAAACAGAATCTGAAAATGTGTCGGAGGTCCTGATATGGAATGATGGCTTCTCTTCATATTCATCCACTTCATGCTGCATTCATCTCTGCGTATTGCTTTGGTCACGCACCTTTTAAAGTACATTGCGCAGAAGCGCTCTGATTTTCAACACCGTTGAAAATGAACAATTTCGAAGGGGTCGGAAAATAGACCCAACAATGTTTGCAATTTGCAAATAAGACAGGACAAAACTATTTGGCAAAGGGTCCAAAGAGTGATTATAGAGACTTCTTTCACCTTCTCTCTGACAGCCACTGGTGCGGGCGGTTGTTGTCGCGAAGCGACCCGAATATATAGCTATACATGTTACTGGGCAACCCAAACGGGCGGGAATAGACAGGGGGACTGTGGGAGAAACCAACCTATATGTCACTTAGATGTGGTCAATATGGCCTTATCTGCTTTCTCGTGCACTTCACTTATTGGTTTTCTTGAAATTGAAAAACACCATGCGACAAATTCACAGAAGTTTAAGGAGATTCTAGTTCCTTCTTCTTCTTCTTTTCTGTTTTCCGTCCATTTTCTTTTCGCCGTGGTAAAAACGACGAACGCTGCCACATGTGAACACCTAAATTCACCAAAAATAGCTTTGCCAGATCCATATGCTCTCGCAGCATTGAACCTATCAAGCGCTGAGGCGAACCCTTATACTGTGTCTTGAGGGGTTGGAAGCAGAAGGTCTAGAGGGGTTGGAAGCAGAAGGTCTAGAGATCTATAGGGGAATTTGGTTGCAGAGAAATCTAGACTGCTAGAGGTCCAAAGTGTAGTGGACTAGAGGTCAACAGGTCTACAGATCAAGGTGTGTAGAGGTCTTGAGACTCAGAGTGGCCAGCCTCAAGTGAGGTCTAGTGGTCTTCGAGGTCTGGGATCTCTAGGGGTCTAGAGGTCCAGAAAGACTTAAAGGCCGAGATTGAGGCCAAATGCAAAGGAGAGATCCAGAGGTCTAGATCTGGAGATCTAGAGGCCTAGAGCTCGTGAGATCTTGAGATCAAGAAATATGAAGCCTCCAAGTTCCTATAGAGATTTAAGAGTTGACGTCTTGCAGATCTAGAGGTCTTTGTCTAGAGACAGTTTGAGTTCGGGAGATCTAAAAGTCTAGAGGTCTTGAGATCCAGACAGGGGCCCGTCTTGAGATCCAGAAAGATCTGGATGGTCTAGTAGATCTAGGGGCTTAGAGGTCATTAGAAAACGAGAGGTCTCAAGGTCTAGAGGCGAGAATTTGAAGGGTCGAGGGGTCTTGAGATCCAGAGGTAGAGACCTAGAGGTCTAGAGTTCTAAATATCGAATCTGCGGGTCTCAAAGTCTAGGCCTGGAGTTGTAGAGGTCTGGAGGTGGAGAGATGTCTAGAGATCTGGTGGCCTGGGCGTGTCAAGAGGACACATATGAATGAGCTATAGGCTATGAGACAACACCCACATGACATCACGCACATGGGAGCACCGTTGGAAGAGCACGCGCTCACATGAGAGCACACATATGAGAGCACATTTGCTGCGCCTGCCGCGAAATCTCCACTTCAACGGCTCCTGCCAGTTAATTGGGCTGGCGGAGATGGGCAGAAGTGGTCGCTGTGCCACAGCCGCGTGCGAATGAGGCAGGCCAACAGTCTCGAATCTGATGGGCCTCTGTTGCCACGATGCAAAAGCCAAAAGGGAGGCCACCTCTGAGCGCCCAGCGCTCCATGCCGACGAAGCTGTGCATTGCACTCTCCGTCTCCCGTCTCCTTGCCCTCAACCAACAGGTCGTGGAAGTGCCTTTGCCACGCCCAAGCTGGTGGCTGGATTAACCCTGCAGATGAAGGCAAAGCTATCCATTGCAAGCTCCTCCAGAGAAAGACGTTTTTCCTAGAGTCCTAGAGGGACTGCCGCGCGACGGCTACAACCACCCTCCAGGCTTCTTCCATGTTGCTTGCGTTCCACTGCCGGCGCTCTGCCGCTGCAGTTGCCGCATTGCAAGATGCGCGCGAATGCTGGCCGTGCCACTGCCAGAACTCCTGCAGGTCTGTCCAGGTGAGCCTGCAGGCCCTCAGCTGTCTGCGCGAAGGCAAACAGCTGAAGCAGGGCGGCGTGTCTGTGACCAGGAGCGAGTCATCGCCAGATCTCAGTTTAGGAGCAGCGTGGCTCCAGCCTTCTGCGGATCGGCTGGAAGGAGCATTCCATAGAAACAGAACGGGGCGAGCCGCTTGTAGTTGATCCTTCCAAGTGGGGCTTTGACATCATGTGACTAATCGTTCCCCAAGATATATGAAACCCGACCTTGCCCTGAATTCACTCGCCTCAGCTGGGGAATTTGTATCCATGAAGGAGTGATCGCGTCGGGCGCCTGGCCATCTGGAAGAAACGGCACAACGTGCGGAGTGGGGAGGCAACACCAACAGGAACCCCAGCATATAAAGAATCTGTGAAATCTTGTCTTTCCTTTGGACAAAGTTCACCACCAGCGGCTAACACAAATTGGTGAATTATCGTTACCAATCAGATCTTTCTTTCACACTGATCCAACATGCCTTCACGAAGCAGCAAGGACTTCTACATCCAGTGCAAGGTCGTTGAGGTGCTCAAGGATTTGGCAGGATGCTATGGGTGGTGAAAATGCTAAGCTAGGATTTGTCAGATGTCAGTTCTAGTGCTTCCTACAGGATTCTGGCCTTGTCTTTGTGGTCTGGGTGGGAACATGTGCGAGCTTGGCAATTGTGAGCTCCACCACCAAGAAACTGCAAAGAACATGCTTTAGGGAGAGTGACCGTGCAAATTCATCAACTGGATTCGGTTGTTCATCCTCGCATTGAGGTACTATCTTTACATTCGGTACATAGGTTCACCTTTGGGTGTCACGTTCCCCACAACAACGTAGGTCCACTGCGCAAGACGTGCCTAAAGCCCAGCCAGCGAGCGCGCCCAAGGGCGTCCGGCGTCGCCGGCGCATGGCGGCCGACTTGCAAAGCATCGCACTTCGTTTCGGATTTTCCAGGTATACCCAAGGCATCAGGGACTAACCAAGCTGCACTTCAGCCGCAATTGACTAGCTCACACGCCGGGCCTTTGGCTTGTTGCTAGAAGCTACTAATAGTTAGGGCATTACCAGTAACAAGGGCATTGCTACTAGTAGCTAGAAGCTACTAGGGGCTCCTGGCCTTACTCCTAGGAACCAGAAGCACTAGTAACAAGGGCATTGCTACTAGTTGCAAGAAGTTGCTAGATACTTGAAGCATCTATGGTCAACTGGGTCCACACGCCGTGGGTTCGATCCCTCAGTGGTGCCCCGTGTCGATCCCGGCACAGCCGCTCTGACTTCGCGTTGATCTGGTTGTATGTGGGGCTGTGACCGGTCAAGATGTTGCTTTTGTTGCTCTTCGTAGTGTAGTGAAATGTGATTGAGAGCGCTTGGATGTACAGTGTTTAGAGGAGGCACAGGTATGGTGATCATACCATCACCCTTGAGCAACATCAGGAGAGTCTACCTGGCTACCTGATCTGTCATAGAGTCCACGGTTTTGGTCTTGAGTTCGTGCTGATTGGTGGCGAGCATACCTCAGTCCAAACACAATACCGTCAGGTTGACAGGAGGAAGCTTGGTACTTGACGACTACAAAACCTTTAATTGTCTCGAAAGTACAAAATGGCCCAAATGGCAAACACCTAAGCAAAGAATCTCCTGCCAGAAACACACGGACGGGGTTCGAAAATACAATTCGAGCTCGCATGCGCTCAGAATTGAGTCAAGGGAAGGAAGTTAACACGCAAAGCTGCCAACATACCCAACTCGGAGTTTGGTCGTTCGCCGGGCCAACGCGGACATCCCTTCGAGAGTATTGATTGTTCCCTTGGGTTCTGACTTGTTCATGATGACACATGATGCAATCCATCAGAAAATCCATGAAAAATCAACATGATGAAACTCTTTCATGTGACAATGTGACATGATGGGATTCCCACAACCAATCTCCCCCCATGAAAGATTGTGCTCCTGTTCTAACATCCCGGTTGTGACTGGGGTTGTGACTGAGTGTGCTCTCCTTCGGGTGGAAGCTTTTGGTAGGGCAGGAAGGTCATCCAGTAGGCAGAAAATGCATCTCGAGAAAACACACCACGAGTTTGTGGGCGGGATCCAAGAACCTCGTGCCAGTCAACACACCGAACACACGGTGTATACAGGAACAAACAAAAGGATTTTGGATGCGATTCCCAAAGCTGCACAAGACCTGCAGTATACGGTTCTGCCACCGCTCAGTATGTGGCACAGAACCACCGGTACCGTTCTGCTGGGTTTAGAAGGGGCCGAACGCATGAAGATCTCTCCTGTCTGCATCTTTCCAGGCCTTCTAGAAAGGCTCAAAGGCTCCCAGATTTACCATCAAGCAAAAGAAGAGCAGCCCCTTCTACAGCTCCACTCCCTAAGGTTGGAATCCAGGGCCCATATAGGAAATTCTCTAGCAGTCTAGATCTACAAGATTGGCTCCTCAGGATCGGGATGGATCAAACCCGAACATGGGAAAACCTCACGTAACACGTCTCACATCTTCTTCCAATATTCTCGTGAGACTTGGGTGGCGGCTGTCATTGTGGAACAACACATGACCGTCACGAAGAGCTGTGTCGTTCAACTAAATACAGCAATACTGGCGGCTTCACCTCAGTCACTTGTGTAGAACAACCCGCAACTTCACGATCTTCCCCCGCGGAGCAGTTGTTGTTTTCGCACGACCATTGGCAGGCTGCATTTCACCTGGTGGCCGGAAGGGAGGCATGACGCAAACAATTCGTGATCAAACACTGGCCATAGTGATGGGATCCTGATGTTTTGATCGTTAGTTGATGCAAGTGCCATGATGTGCCATTTTGTAGAACATCTCCTGTCCACTGTTCATCGACACTTGGCTCAATTGCGAGACATACATTCGAAATAATCTTGGAAGTGGAGTTCACCGCCTATTTGCTATTCTGATTGCCATCCATGTTGGCCCATGGTTCTTCCATGGGAATGTATCTGGGTCACAATCTGTCTATCCACTTCGAAACTTCCATCCAATTATTTTGGGTGGTGCAGCAGCCCTTTCGTCCCCAAAGGGCCTGCTCTTTGCTCGGAAATGCTGGTGAAGCTTCCACAGGTGCCCCAGAAAAACGCCACTCCACAACAGGCCCTTTTATCTTTTACCATCGTGTTCGGTGGGTGGTTTGACCGACCTCCCCCGGCGGTCACGGTCAAGCATTCTAACGGTCATACGCTCCCGGAAGTGGATGAACATGGCTCGGCTCATGATCATGGCTCTGAAGGGATGAATATGTTCCGAATACCAATCAGGCTTTCCACTTCCGATTTCAAGGATCAACATGTTGGGTGTTCCATGGAAGTTCTAGTTGCAGTTAGGTGCTATGATCCGAGCTTGACATAGGGTGTGGGGGGGGAACGGATAGATCAACATGGGGCCTTCAGAGAAGGTGCTTGGATTTTTTGTTAAGTTTGGTGTGGGGGAGGGTCAAACAGCCTTCGAAGGTTGGATGACTAAACACAAGCATCACGCTTGTCAATGATCAACACCTGACTTCACAAGATTTGTAAGAGGTTCCCTGAGCTCGCCTCCTGAGTTCGTGATTTGCAAGCAGCTCCCTCCATCGTGGGACACTGAGGAGACGTGTTTTACCTTTATCTTAGCAAAAGTCTCATGGAAGATCATGGAGGTAAAACAATGTAAAACAAGTTCATTATCCTGAATTCATTCCTTCAAGGTTACTTCCTTTTGTCGACACAACTCCTTCCATTGTGCCTTTGTAAACGGTGAGGTCTTTCTGACCTTTTTTGGATTCGCCCCAACTTCGGCCACAAAGGAGGATAACCTGCGAAGGTTAACAAGATGTTCAGGCCACCGTGGGGTACAGTGTCAAAGAAGAACAACACTGTTCAGAACCCAAAAAGAATTTGGACCCCGATTTGTCACCTTCCGTTGAGGGTAGTGTTCTTTTTTTCTTAAACTTGTATACTTCCATTGATAGTCGTTTGCGTTGTGTGATTGGAGGCCCCATGGTTTGGATTGATGTGTCCACTGATGGCGTCTCCATTCCATGGGAGGTCAAGGACAAGTAGAACCACCAATGGGTGACAATTGAATCCCCTGCAAAGGAATATGTAGTAGACACCCTATCACTTGGAATCAAGTACTATACTATTAAGCACCAGTCGTTTCAATGACTGCTGTAGGCTGACATGCCTTCATGAGCAAACATCCCTGGCAAAGCCAAAGCTTTGTGGGAACCAAGTGCAACCAACATGCAGCATCCGCACATGAAAACATATACTGTATCTAAACAATTTACAATACAGTTTCTATTCACTGTTTTACTTTTGGGGCTCGAAACGGCCTTGGTTTAGGCTAGGATTCACAACTGCTCTACAGCAATCGGCATTTAAGAACGCTGGGAAAACCTGTTCAGAAGATCGCCCAGACTGGCTTTTCTGAGCCAAGTGGGAGGTTTTCCATGATTGGTTCTTCCAAATAAGAGGATTTCTCAAGGATCCCTGGGATACCAATCCTGATACAAGTTCGTTGTTGCAACAAAAGTCAGCTTGCCCCTGCTCCTGCAACCCTGCAGGCCCCTGCCTGCAGATGCGCACTTGCTGGTACTGGACGATTCTCACATCATGCCTGGCACCGGGATAGAAACAACTTGAGGGCCTCAAAGTTGCAAACAGAGTATCCGGCTGCGGGCATGCCGGCCAGGCCCTGAAAAGCACGAGTTCCATGGTTGGTCACTGATGTTGAACTATTTGTATATGTGCGTCCCAGGTGTTCTCTGGTGCATATACTTGCATGCATGTTGCATGTATCCTCCTTTCCCTCTCGCCTTGCAACATGCTTCAAGCTGAATTGATTTCATCATGTGTCCATACATGTGTATGTAGACTGCTCTACCGTGCTCCAGCAATGCCCCATGTCTTCGCAAACGCCTCGCTGCTGATTCTCTCTCTCAACGTCTCACATGTACACGCACATGCACAAAAAGAGGCAACTCTCATGGGAGGTTCTGGGCTCTGCAACATCTTTTGAATCATGTTATTCACAAAGAAACACCCATGCTGAAATTCCCTTGTTGGCACCCGTTGAGCCACTTCTGCCCCAAAAAATGAGGATATGATAAGATTCATTGTTTGTTCAAAAACACACAAATTATCTATTGCTAGTGTTATCACAAAGGAATCGCACTCACGGAGTATCTATTCCAAGCATCACATCAGGTCTATGGACACAGCTCTTGTGATTGTTGCGGTTCCTATGGGCTATTGCAACGCCTAAGAACAACTTGAGTGTTAAATAATCGCAACTCAACCCGAATCATCCGTCTATAGTTGAACTAGACTCCTAGACCTGTCACTGCCACTAAAATTTCAATATCTAAACGCTTGTTCTTAAATCAAATCACTCAAATCACTGAAACCCAAGAAAGTGAGAAAATCTTCAAGAGGTGCAAAAGGAACACATTGCAAGGCGAGCACACGCACCCCAGCAACATACCCAGGTGACCAGATGAGCATTCAATGTGATCCAAAAGCACAAAAACATCGTGGCCGGACATATCACCGGTTGGCCTTGCTGGAACCTCATGGCATCCTCCTCCATCCATCCACCTGACGTGGCCAAAGGCACGACAAAAACATCACCACCCTGGTTCCAAGATCAAAAGCAACCTGTCCGAGCGACCTTTGGATCCAATCTGATTTCGGCTCATGGGCTCACGGTGAATAGGAGGCGCTATCCAATGTCAATTGTTATTATGCCCAGTGCCAATGACCCAACACGAAAGAACTAATTACATGAGCTCCTTTGAAGAACAGGAATTCAATCAACACCCGCTATGCAGAGGTGCCTCGACGCCTTGCATGACACTTGAATCCTAAATGTTGAGACGTCAACTCATGCTTTGTTGACCGCTTTTGGCGGCCACCTGCGCCTGCGTCAACTTGCATTCCACCAAAACACGTGTGACTCACCA